CTTATTTATTAATTTATTTTGCAATATCACCTTTTTGAGGGACTATAAGTTTATGATTGGAAAGTCCAGTTAGTTTCCACAAATGATTTTAGTAGTTATGAAGAAGAAAGGGCACCTTCAGTCTAAGATTATCTTAATTGCTTCATTCCTTATTGATGAGAAGTGCCCACACACTCTCTGCCCCCCCTCCCTCTCAGTCATCTGTAATCAGTGTTCATGTTTTGCCATTCCAAAYGTCTGCGCAACATACAACACAGGGGCTGCCTGGTCAAGGATTTCACTGGTTTAGTCTGCGATAAAAGATTAATATGAGTGCGTACAAGCTCACGGTCTTCAAAGTACTTTTATGAAAAGGTCAGTGTTTACACAAACAGCKGCAGGAGTTAGGATCCGTTTTCTCTACGTCTTTTCCTTTGCAAACATCTGCTGCGTTTATAAGGTGTCGTTACCGAGGCCACAACAGCTTTTTCTTAATGCTTGATCTTCTTATTTCTTACGCTCACCTTGTCTGCTAGCACAAACGTTTCAGACCTTAATGTGAAACAGAAACGATATCGGTGTTTCGTGCACTTCAACAGACTGCCGCTGTGTGCAGATTTCTCTTCAGTGCAATTTTAGAGGTGATATATTTTGAGGAAGCGAGTTTTAAATAGTCTGYACCTATCAGTTAATTTATTTCTTTAAATATTAACCTAAAATCATTTATAGTTTGGCCTCTGGTTCTTCGTTTGATTCTAAAAGCAACAAAGGAGCGAGTAACTATTTTGAACATCGACAGTTTTTCAACATTTTTCTTTGATGCTTTATAATRCATTTGTTTCATGGAATCTATTTAAAGCAGAAAAACTATTAATTATTCACCCAGTTAATTGAAAAAAATCTTTCAGCAGCAATGGTTTTTCTGATATTTTAATTTTTTTATTTTTGCTTGTTTATCTTTATTGGCTCAAAGCTCTCAGCTTTAAAAATCTGAATGTTTGCTTGTGTTTGTTTTTCTTTTACAAGAATATAATTATTCACAATAAGTGTGCAGCTAATTTACAGCGAGAATAAAAAACCTAAATTACCTAAACCTAAAATAATTTAG